GGGAATTCTGGGAGTTGAAGTCCACACCTCTTTAAGCTGCCAAGGTTGAGGAACACTGGTTTAGAAGCATTTATTTTAGGGATTTCTGAGTAAGCACACTTGCTTCCTTTTCTCCAGCTTACAGTTTCTCTCCAACCCTTCCCTCATGTTTCTTGAACAGCATGTATGTGTTTTAATATTAAGTCCTTAATGCTATTCCATGGCAGCCTCTCTCTCCACCTGGTGCTCTCCAGATGAGTGGGATTACCGTTCTCATAATTCCAAAGCTGTGCAAGCAGCCAGATCACTGGAGGGTGCTTTAAGCTGTTGCACATTTAAACTCTGCTTTGGCTGTGCCTGCCCTTTCTTATTATCACAATGTTTCTTCTTATGTTTGTATGCCTGTTTCCTTCCTGATCCTACCTCTGCTTTCGCGGACTTCCAATACTTCCTTCAGCAACCAGATCTGGTTCAAATTCAAAGGGCTGCAAAGGTATTTTCAACAGGGTGTCAACCCTTCCCTTTTAAGTAAGGAAACACCTTATTTAAAAGGACCTTGTGTTGATTTGTCACTTAACCAGACTAATCAAGTACCAACTGTGGAACCTGTGATAATAATATAGTTTAAACGCTGTGGGAGCTACTTCAGATGGTTGAATTCTCTGCATTACTAGCATTACCTGTAGTCATGGGCTAAAGAAGTAATAATAATAATAACAACAACAATAACAATAATATCAACAACAATGCATTTCTTTCATGAGCTTTATTACTTAGAGCAGGCATCCATCCATTTACCCTATCTGAAAAACAGTGTTTGGGTGGGCAGATTGATACTTCATTGTCATTTTCTCTTGTTTCCTAAGCCAGGATGGTCAACGGGTATCCTGCAAAGTAGGCAGTGGGTGCTTCTTTCTGTTTCTATTCCATGTCAGTTTTGCATATTCTTACCCATCATTCCATCCAAATTAATTTTCATATGAATTCAATGCATATCTAAATATGAATATTATCTCAAAAACATAACTTAAAAAGGTTATTATAATCCATTTATGGCATGGAGAACTGTGTGGTATTGTTTGAAGATGTATGAAATTGAGTGGATAGCTAAACCCCAATCTGTGCCTTATTCCAAAAAAGAGTTGAAAAAAATTAAATTCCTATTTCATGTATAGGAACCTGCTTGGCCTCAAGCACCCATGTTGCAAGCCTGAATTGCCTCCTAGCAAATCTGAATCATGGTGCACTTAGAAAATAATTTTGCTTCAGTCACCTCCATAGATAGTTCTCCCATATTTTATCATAAATCCCTTTTTCTTGTACTTTCTGGAAATTCAAAGGAGCACTGCTGATCTCTTGCAGGAAGAGAACCAAGACTATTAGCGAGCTTTGCTTTTCTTCTCTCACCCACTTTCCCAGTCATACATGACAAGTAGTGGCTGATTTTTGTTAGAGCAGCCTTCCTCCAAATGTGTTGCCTTTGAGATACACTGGGATTGCAATTCCCAGAATCCCAGCCAAAGGCCATGCTGGTTAAAAATTCTAGAAATTAGTCACCCCACATCTAGGGGATACCAGGATTGGAAACATTGCTGGAGAGTCTTATCTTTCAAGAACATTTCTGGCCAGAACTAATACAGAATGAGCCCCCAAATACAGATTTGGCCTGAGCCAATGAGCAGGAGGAACTGAACCAAAATCTTTGGGGAAAACTGATAATAATGATGGATAGAGAAGGTAATTTGACCAGTGTACTCTCACTGATATATTATTTTGTTTTGTGTTTTCCAGGGAAGGAGATTGGTGGCTGGCTCACTCCCTCACAACTGGCCAGAAAGGCTACATCCCCAGTAACTATGTCGCACCTTCAGACTCCATCCAAGCAGAAGAGTAATTAAAATATTATAGATAGCTTTAAAAGAATTATGTTGTGCTTTGGCAGATCTTCTAGTTATAACCTTTTGGGGGCACCCCTCAAATCATTATATAATTCTCTTAAACAGGGTTCCTGAATATGTGACTTTGGGCTAGTTCATAAATATGTATATTCTCTAGATTACTTTCAGTGCCAAATGGTGATGTGTCATATATATTGCAAGGGAGTGTTTACAAATGGTAGGTAGAACTTTTAGTCACAAAGAACACATTGTGTTTCAAGAGAATGAGTTCCCACATTCAGATTCACCTCAAGAATAAAAGAGTATACTAATAATCAAGAAGCTTAGCATTTTGCTGGCTTTTACTAAGGTGCTGATAAGTACAAATTTATCAGCAGGCTTCCAGAACAGTAGATATTTATGCTAAACTCTTGCCTCTATGCAAAATATTTTGGTGTTCTTCTCAGATTTCTTTCAAAAGAAGCAGCTTTCATGCCACAGTATCTGAAGATCCCCCTCCCCAAAAAATATATAGTATGAGTGATTTATATTGTCCCATAAATATCTGAGGCAGCTTATCACATGCCGTAATTAGAGATAATATAATCATAAAAGGCCGTGAATTCTATCCATGCTGTTTTGAGGTATATAGATTTACCTATCTATGGAAGCCTCCATTTTTATGGGAGTGTTTTGTTTCAACTATAAACTGCCTTGGGTGACAACAGTCCACTGAAAGGGATGTTATTCTCTACATGAATAATTGAAGTATTCCAAGGCACAAGTGCACATGTGTAAATAGTAGGGTCTATCTGTGAACTTATTTATTTATTATGAAGGCTTTTTTACCACTTCAGTCATTTGACCCTACACACTATGCAGCAGATAAATAAAAAATCAATACAATACAATAAAAATAAATCCTTCGTGTATCAGTATAATCAACTCTAGAAGAATCATCATCATCATCATCATCATCATCATCCATTCATCCATCTTAGGTACATTCTCTACTCACTTGTTAAAAACCATGTTTTCAACAACTTTGTCAATGTCAGGAATGAGATTGCTAATCTTATTTCTGGTGGGAATGCACTGTGTAGGAGGAGAGTTCCAACTTGACTTTGTTAGGTCAAGTTTGAAATCAGTTGCAAATTAGCAGGCATATTAATCTAGGGAATTTTTACAAGTTTGTGGGTGGTAGAGGGAATTGATCTACTTTACTGGCCTCTCCCTTCAAATCTAAGATGAGAGAGATTCTGGAAAATTGTGTCTTGGCTTGTAATAGGTTTTTATTACAGAGCAACATTTTGGACAGGGAGAATCTAGAATGCTGTGCTGGAGGAACCCCACGCTTTCCAGCAACACTTGGCAACTGGGGGTAGCTTCCAAAGCAGATATATGAGTTTGGAAGAAGATGCAGCTGCTTTAATGATTTGAAGAAAGGTCTTCATATGTGCTCCTGTGCATTGTGAAGCACTTCTTTCAAAGGAATTGTATAACCTCAGCATTTAGTGACACACTGTCTAAAGAGGAAACTACCTACCAATTGACATTATAAATTGGTCTAGTTTCTTTTTAAAGCCATCTAAATCAGTGGCCATCATCACAGCATCTTATATCACTGATGTAGTCTCTTGATTTTGCATTATTATTGTCTTTCATCTGGTTGAATTTATGAACAGTTAATTTCAGAGCAGCAGGATAGTTATTTTTCTGGAGTTTACAAATATTATATTTTATAGGGCCTTAGTGTTTACTGCTTTCTCATTTAATGCTTCTGGCACCAACTAAAAGAGTTTAGAACTTAATGTAAACTTTAAGCATACAGTGCAGACTATAAAGTGGCTAGATCAGATTAAAACATATTTGAAAAATTCACTGAGAACCTGGAACATCAGCATATCAGAGAAAAGGTTTCCTAATACTTCAGAAAAGGATTCCTAATACATCAGCTTTTCAAGTATAAGAACATTTGATGAGGGGGACCAATGCAGTGTTTACATGCTATCTCCTGCTTGAATTCTGAGATCCTAGAATCTTATGAAGCCTGAACTACAGCAATATGGGCCCTAGAAAGGCAATGATGCTTAACCCATCCCAAAATAGCACTTAATATACTTAAATTAAAATAATTTAAAATATGTAAATTCTCAAAATCTCAGATACGTTATTAATCGTGTTTTCAAACTGATGCAATATTTCAAAAGTGCTGAAATCTAATGAGCCATTGCCAATCTAAATTTTTGGTATCTAGAATGCAGCTGAAAAATATTGGTGTACTTCTTGAGCAAAATTATTTTGGCATGACCTTTAACCTTTGGAGGAGAAAATACTTGATTCTTCTGTCTATAAAAATGTTCGCAATGATTTAAATGAAAATGGGATCTCTCCACATTTATCTGTATTCTACTGTTGCAGATGGTATTTTGGCAAGATAACCCGCCGAGAATCTGAACGGTTACTGCTCAATCCAGAGAATCCCCGAGGGACTTTCCTGGCAAGAGAGAGTGAGACCACAAAAGGTAATAATCATTGGAAAAGAAAGTGATGATCACGGGAGAATGTATTAGAAAATTAATCTTCCACTTCAATAGGATTCTCTCTCTGCTTGTAGAAGAGTGTTTCCCAAACTTCTAATGGCTAAAGCACAGTGTTCCTCTTCCCTCCACTACATTCAAACTGGAGGTAATCTCTCTTTCACCCTAAATATTGGAAATTTCTCAGTGGTCAGGGGTTGCAGTTAACATTCTTAAAACATTTAACTACGCAAGAACTTAGCATGAATGTGTCCATGTCATGCGCATTGGTGGACTCACAGTTTCCTGTTGTTTTTCTAGAGATGAGGGAGAACGTGGATTCTCTGTCTCTTTTTTAGATCTGTCTTAATGCCCGTGTTTACACTACCCATTTTGTAGCCCCCAGAGCTTCCTGTCATTTTAAAGCAGAAAATGCAAAATGGGTGTTTTAGATATTTTCAGACTGCAATAACTAGAATTCTTAGTTTTGAAGAATGATGCAAAGGAGCCCCATGGATGTGCCTTCTGTTAGGTTTCTCTCTATGCCATTCATCTGAAGGCAATTAAAAGCAATTATCTTCAGCAGTTAATATGGATTATCTTAGTTTACGAATGATAAACTATTGCAACCATGTAAATAATGGTTAAAATTGCTTTTAATTGTGGGCAGTAGTAGGGTAGAGGAAGATTTCAAACCCAGTGACTTGGAGCATGTATGGCCTCTCCAAGGCTCTTTTTCTTTTGCTTGATATATAATAACAGGCATTTTAACCCAAGAGGTACGCTTTTCTCATGCTGATAATATCCTTATTCTCTCTGCTTGTCCATGCTATCTACATACAGTTGGTTCTGTCAACAGGACTGCACTCTCTCTATCTCCCTCTTGTATACTGATGTGAAGGGTGGAGAACTGGATGGGATTTAAATGTAAACAGAGACTCCAGTCCTGTGCTTCTCCTTTTTGTAAAAAAAATAGTGTAGAAACTGGGTCACTGGATGGGGAAATAGCTGGGTAACCAATGGCAACAGGAAACTCTAGTTTCTCTTTCTCTCCTGCCAAGGAGTTGTTGTTTGTTACATTTATGAAACAGGTTATAGAGTTTGTGTTTGTGAGTAAAAGGAGAGCCACAAACAATGTGTATGTACCAGTCACAAATTCTGCACAAGCATAGAGTTGACTTAGCATTATCCACATGTCGCATTTCTCTAATGGTGAAACCTCTGGACTTGTAAAGGTTGCATGTATTTCATGGTCTCTCATATGCATATTCAGAGAAAAAGAATAAAGTGGCACAAATCTCAGCTTTTGGTGTGGGTGTATTTTAAAATCAAGTATTGCTTGTAACTGCTGTTGACTTGGCACAAGAGATCATTCAACATTCAACATAGCATCTACAGACCATTCATCTGCATGCCATGGCTTATTCATTTACAGTGAATTGGAACCAGACAAGTTAGTCATGTTTCATTCTCACTGAAAGCTATAGGAATTAAAGTTATCCATGAGTGATTTGTCTCATAGATAAAAATAAAACATGTCTAACCTGGTCTGGGTTTACCCCAATTTTGTTAGCAAATTTCCAATGGAAATTGTTCAAAATGATAAAGAAGATTAAACATCCAATTACAAAACAAGTCACAGGCCATGAGGGTGAGTGTGGTATGAATCAAAACATTTTGCCCGTTTTAAAAAATTCTTCATAAATGTTAAATAGCAATGTTAGTAAACCTGCTTTCCTAATCATCTCTCAGATCTTCACAAGAGTTTCTAAGCATTCCTTTGGTGTTCATCATTTAGATCAGTTTAGATGCTGGCTAGGGAATCCTGGGAGTTGAAGTCCACACATTTTAAAGTTGCCAAGGTTGAGAAACACTGATTTAGATCATAATATTAATTGTGGTCAATTTGTCACCCATGGCCAGATTTTCAGATGAAGATACAGGTCATACACGAAACAAGGAGCTGAACTAGTCTAAGAAACAGAATTGTATATGTTTTGAAAACATTTTTGAATCTTGAATTCTGTGTCATGCCCTAAAACTGACACCCCCGACAAAATAATACAGCAGCACTTTCCCCATTTAATTGGAGCAGTGTCCTAACAGCAAAGGAGGAAAGAGGTTTTCTCTATAGATTTCTTCCACTTAAGAGTTGTAGTAAAGACCTTCCTTCAAGGCCCTCTGTGTTAACCCCATACAAATTAGCTGGTAAGGTTTGACAGGATCAGAATGAAGGCTGATTCACCTGCAAGCCATAATTAGATCAGCCTGGTCTTCTTGGCTGCTTTCTTCAAAGATGTCCCCTCTGCATCCCCTCTCCCCACATCTTAATCCTGCTGGGAAGCTACTATCCTGGTCTCTATAGCATCACTGTTTGCTTTTATGTAACCGGCATCAAGACATTCTACTCTGAGAGATTTGCTTAACAACATGTGTGTGTTCAGAATTTTCCTTATTCTAAAATGCCATGGTGAAATGGAATCAGCCGCTTGCATTGTATGGTGTTATCAAATATATATTTTATCTGCATGCCTAATTGTGTGTATGCCTTGATGTGAACCATTCAGTTATTTGGAGAATGTTTTCTTCCAGAATTGGTAATGTTTTAGAAAAAAGAGGAAGGAAGCAAACAAGCATACCTACCAAGACACAAAATATAGCCCTGTCATCTTGGGTTAATCAGTCTGATAAATACTGACTGTAAATTATCTCTAAGATTGCGGGCTTAAATAGATCTCGCTTTTCCTTTACAGGTGCCTACTGCCTCTCTGTCTCAGATTTTGACAATGCCAAGGGCCTCAATGTGAAGCACTACAAGATTCGCAAACTGGACAATGGTGGCTTTTATATCACGTCCCGCACACAGTTCAGCAGCCTTCAGCAGCTAGTGGCTTATTACTCCAGTAAGTGTCATTTCAGCTTCTGATGATGGCTGGGTTCTCTGCAGGGGTCTCTGTCTAAGATACCTCAGAATAAGGAAAAGGGTGAACAAGTTTGGACTGTACGTGATATTCTATCAAGTACTCAAGCATTAAATATGAAATGAACAATGAGAGGTTGTACTATTAGATCCAAATGTAATTGTTCTAATGTCTGGCAATGTGTGGCTTAGCTACCTATGGACTGTCACCGCAAGCAGTGTGAGATCTCTGTTCATCATTCTCCAAAAGAAAATAATAAGGTTCACATCTTGTGATTAATACAGTGATACACTGAATACTGCATATTCAATGTACCACCATATTAATACAATGGAGAATAAACAAATGATTGCCAGTGAAAGATGCCAGATGGTAACATATGCAATAGGAGATGAAAGAAAAAAAAATGTTCATTTTCTATAATACTTTCTAGCACATGTTTTGAGATAGTTAAGGTAGAAATCAACAGGGTAGGGTTGTTGTTTTTTTTAAACTTAATTGCATAATTGTAGTAGATGGACAGGGGATGTACCCTGTTATTACACAGTGTAGGTACACATATTCTTAAGGATTTTCCACCTATGACCAGTTAATTCTGATCACGTCAGTAAGACTTTAATAAGCTCCAAGTAAATATATCGTAGTTTTTCCTTAAGCCTCATGATCTAGCTTTCACTCAAGTAGCCATGGTGATTTTTGAAATAATCACCAAGCAATGCTCAAAATTGCAAGAGATTAGTGTACTACAAATTCCCATAGTTGTTCCCAACAATGTGGCTTCCCCTAACTGATGATGTAGTAGGAAGGGCAAAAGCAAAGTTGAAATGAGATTCTGCACGGTAGACTTCCAGGTGTTGTAAAGTTATAACTAGGCCCTGACTTCCACTTTTTCTAAATGTATGTTTTGATTTCATTCCTGTGTATGGTAATATATTTGATGCATTTCTAACTTGCAATGAGTGGTTTTCAATCTCTTACCTTTTGTTGTTTCTCCCCCTTAATGAATAACTACAATCAGCCCATGAGTGTCTGGGGTAGGGGACATAGAAAAGACAAATGACAACACATGCATCATGATACAATTGCATAAATGATGTGAATTGAGTAATTGCATCTTTCAAAAATGATGCAAGTAAGTAATTCATATAATTTTCACGATGATGTTAGGAACACCACAAAATTGTTTTGATGTCATTGTGCCTTTTACTGGATGTATATGGACATCAGGGGCAGAGTTTCAGGAAGATTGGGGTAGAGATCACACTATAGAAACTACAATTGTTTAATTTCTAAGGTAAATAGAATATGTTTCTACTATTGTAATGGTATGTGGGAAAAACCTCAGGAGATGGGGTGAAGAGATGCTGCCTAGGAATGGTCAGATATGAGACAGCATATCCTGCAGCTGGAAAGTGAGTGGGGCAAGGGGCTCAGAAGGGATCCACCCTAGTTTCTCGGGCTGTAAAGGAGACAGTGAGAGAATTGTACTTTCAGACTTGCAAGATTCTGTTAATGTAGCTTTACAATAAAGGAG